CTTTCTTTAGGCTTTCTTCTATTTTCATGTGGTAAACCAGCCAGCAAGCCTGTTTTTCAAAAGCACAGCTTTTTCAGCTCTCCAGCAGAATGTATCAGTTTACATGGATAAAAACAAACCACTTAACACGGTCAGGGGTGATTAAATTCAGCTTTTATTCATGCAAAACCTTTAATCCAAAAGAGAAAAAAACCCTATTCACTGTAACTGAAAAAGTTTGAATTGGAGTTTGGCTTTAATTTGTTAGTGGTTCTGAATCTCTTAATACATTTAACACTAGCCTACACCAAGACTAACTATAGTGCTGTCCTGCTGCGCCCCCTGTACTCAGTCCTCCAGAGTTGTCTCTCACTAATAAAGAAGGTGTGTTACTGGCCAGATCACCAAGTGAAATCAGAGCCAAAGAAAAGAAAATGGATGCAACCACCACATACAATGACTAATAAACTACAATATAATACATTTTGGGTTTTGGGTTTAACATCGCTTTAACCCCATCCATGGCAAAGTGGTGGAAAAAGAAAGATTAAAAAAGGCACCCAGTGACTAATAAAAATGAAGGAGCTTCAGGTGCCCAGGCCAAAAGTTCCATTCAGCGAACATAGACGTTACAAGCATAGCAAGCACAAAGGCACTTCTAACAGAGAGGAGAGATGGAAGACTGGGGTGGGGATAGAAGTGGCCTATTACACGCACAGTTTCTGGCAAAGAAATAAAGTATTTTCTATTTTATATGAGGGAATGATTATGATATGGCAACATGGCCAGCCCCACCTTCCACCAATGCTGAAAATGTAAATAGAATAAACTGTGCAAGATGGCATATGGATGATATAGAAAATTATAAGAATTATAATAAACATTATTACATTATAGAAAAGAACAACCCCCTTTAAAATAATCACAATTTGTAGCTTTGTGGCCTGAAATGAAGACAGACACAGTTTTATCCAGCAGTATATATAACATCCAAGTGAAAGATATAACACCAACACGTAAAAAAAAAAAATTCAAAAACAGAATCATTGAGTTGGAAAAAGGATCACTCCCTTGTGTCAGTATTTTGTTGAACCACGGTTTGCTTTAATTCCAGCCTTTAGTCTGTTGGGATATGTCGCTACTAACTTTGCACATCTAGACTTTGCAATATTTGCCCACTCTTCTTTGCAGAACTGCTCAAGTTCAGTTAAATTTGATAGTGACCGTGTGTGGACTGCAGTCTTCAAGTCATTCCACAGATTTTCATTAGGGTTTAAGTCTGGGCTCTGACTAGGCCATGCAAGGACATTCACCTTTTTCTCCTTCAACCACTGTGTGGTCATTTTTGCTGTGTGCTTTGGGTCATTGTCATGTTGGAAGGTAAACCTTCTTCCTTCCATTGTCAACTTTCTGAAAGAGGACAGCAGATTTTCCTAAAGAATTTGGCGGCATTTATCCCTATCCAGTTTTCCTTCTAGCCTGACAGTGCTCTAATCCCTGCTGCCTGCAGAGAAACCCCCTCCCCCATACCAGGATATTACCACCTCCATGCTTTACTGTAGGAATGGTATTATTTGGATGGTGAGCGGTATTGGATTTTCGGCAAACATATAGTTTAATGTTGAGGCCAAATAATTCAATTATAGTCTCATCTGACCAGAACACCTTTTTCTATGTGGCCTCAGGTGCTTTTTGGCACCTTCTCAGTCATGGCAAAACTCAGTAGTGACTGCATGTGGCCTATCTTAAGGAGTGGCTTTTTTCTTGCAATTCTCCCATACAAGCCACATCTGTGGAGAATTTGTGATATTGTGGTCACATGCACACAATGACCACTTTTGGTCATAAATTCCTGCAACTGCTTCAGAGTTTCTGTAGGCTGCCTCTCTGTTCAGTTTTATTTTTGTTATCTGGGTTTACAACCACTTTAATAATAGCCTTCACTGTGCTTCTAGACAATGATAAAAGCTTTTGATTTTTTTTTTTTATCCACAACTTCTGACTTGTGCCTGTCCACAACTTTATCCTGGAAATCGTTTGACAGTGCCTTGCCACCCATAGTGGTTTGCTTCAGTTGCACTACTGAGACTAAAATGCTCCAGGAAAGTTCACACTAATTAAAATAACCACAGCTGATCACAGTTGAAAGTCAAACTGCTTTGTGTGCCATTGAGAAGGTTATAGGTTGCACTAAGTAAATACATTTGGATAAAACAAAAAACTGTGTGTCTTCATTTCAGGCTGCAAAGCAACAAAATGTAATTTGAAAGGGGGTGAATCTTTTCTATACCCACTGCGAAAAAGATAAAACAAATGCTAACACGGATTTGCAGGTGAACATACGTGCATTATTTTTAACTTTATAGCTTTGATTTTAATAAACGATATATCCTAAGGCCTCTTTCACACTGACAGTCCTATCAGGTCCGCCTGTCAGTTTTCCTAGCAGACCTGATTGGACCATCCATAGCGCCAGGTGTCAGCTGACGTGTTTCACTGACACCCACCAGCATCCGATCCTGTACACTGAAAACAAGACAGATGTGAATCCGTTCCCCATCCGCCCGGCAGATCGGATTTGATGACAGTTAGATGGGCTGTCCGTTTCCATCTGACCGCCCATAGAGAACAATGGGCTGTGTCCACTCTGCATAGCAGAGTGGACACAGACCTGTCAGCCACCTGCATAGCAGGGTTCAGCAGAGGGATCCACTTGACAGAATCCACCATGTTTGACAAGTGCTGCCTAAAGGATGCGGTTGAATGCAAATCGAAATCAAAAATGAAATAAATAAAAAAAACTATGCACATATAATAAGAATGTAAACACAAAAAAGAGAAAAAAAAACAAACACTGTATATATACACAGTATTTAATTTTATTTAATTTCAGTGCCTTGATAAAATAAATAAACCATGGTGAGGAGAGGGGAACACAGGCATGGGGACAGCATGGTAACAAATCATTCAGCACTGTAGACTTATAAAGCTTTTGATTATATACATAGACATCAACAACAAGTATATACAAAACTGCAGCAAGAAGAGAAAAGCGTGGAAGGGCATTATGGGCATTTAAACAGACTTTTGAAACCGGTCAATGAAGATTTAACCTCTTCTTACCTCTGGACAACAGAATATTAAAAAATTATCTTGCGTCAGGCTAAAAAGGCCCGCAGTGCAGAACTACAAGATACAGCATAAACTTGCATGCTAGGACCAGACAACAGCAGGCATGCCAGATAGATTTCAAGGCTGCCTCAAACTTCTCAAACCCTGTTGTGGCATGCTGTCACTTGTAGTTCCACTACAGCTAGCACATTACAAGTCACCTAAACCTGCTTTAAAGTACTTAAGAACACCTTCAGTACCAACCTCTAAATTCAAGTAATACTTCAAAACGTAAAACTTGTGCAAACCAAAAAAAAAAAAAAATACTCTCAAAAATATATTATTTAAATATTTTATGTGTCATGTTTAATTTAAACTGTAACATAAATTCACATTATGTTTAGTGAAGTCGTACAGAGGAGGGGGGAAGAAAAACAAAAGTCCAAAGTGCATTCCATCTAAAAAAAAAAAAAAAATTAGCATTTAGTGTTTTCAGGGTTGCTTTTTAAAGCTGAAAGCTGTAACAAATGGCCCCCAATACTAAGCAGGTCAAACAATTTTTCAGAAGATGAAAAACAAAACTCAGTTTTGTTGGATGCAAAGATTTTTTTTTTTTTCTTGAAGAGAGAAAGCAAAGAAAAATATTTCCTTCAAACAATAAATAACCCACCTCAGAAAAAAATATAAATATAAATTTTCAACATAAGCACACAAGCTTCTCTGAAGTGTGCTTTTTGCAGAGTACACAGCAACAAATATTAAGATTTAAATTTTAACACACCATAAAACCAACAATTAAAAAGGACTGTGTTGATCTTTAAGTGCACCATGATATCGGATATAGACAGCAGTACCGTGCTCAGTGTAGAATATACCTACTTTCTATACCATACACTTTCAGGGATGAATATGTCAGAGCAAATATTCCTTAGGGGAGGGGAAAAATGCTGTACCACTATATATATATATATATAAAAAAAAAAAAAAAACTTTGAAGAAAAATGTTGCATTTAGTTCAAATCATGAATTTTCAAGCACAAAATCCGTCCAAGTTATTCATTGTATGTGATGTTGGCGGGCAGCTGTATATAATTTCAACAGGTCAGTCACTCTTTATTGATCCAAAATCAGCAGCGAAGAGGGCAGCAGGTGATACTTACTTGCAGACACTTTGATTCTGAGTTCTGGTGATTTTCAGACCTAGGCTAGCATAATCAGAAAAGCGGCCATGTTGTTGAGCTGTCAATAGCTATTGAGAACGGTTGCTGTATAAGTGAAAAGGAATGTATCAGGATGTTCAGGGACCTGACACAGTGGAGGTTTCTATCCAGCACTGGGAACTTTCACTGCCTGAAAGTAGTGGCAGAGTGTGTAAAGCTGCAGCGGTGTGTTGTGTCTTAGAACTAGCACCACCTTTGGGGATCAGTCAATGACAGCCTCCAGGGCTGTCAGTGAGCCTCAGCTGTGGCAGTACAGGCCATCCTCACAGATACCCTTTTAAATTCATGAAAAATGCTTATCTGGTATTTGTGACATGCTCCTTTAAATTCCATGGAGAAAAAAAAAAAAGCCAAAAAAAAAAAAAAAAAAAACAGATTACAATATTACAGCAGAACACAGTTCGCAAAGAGGTGTGGAAAATTGCATCTCCTTAGATCGATTTGCTTCAGGGAAGGTGAACTTTGAACCAGGATGTACACGAAGGTACAACTGGAACAGTACTTTGTCTTTTTTTTTTTTTTTTTACCGTGTAAAATCTTCATGTTAAAATTCCATTTGGTGGAAAAAAAAAAAAAAAAAAACAAAACAAAAAAAAAAAACATTCAAAGTGCTGCAGAATTTGTATCCGCTGAAGGCATAAACATGGTCTCTAAAGCCAAAGTGATCAGTTACCTCTTGTCAGCAAAGCTTCACTTGGACAGGGGATTCTTCTTTGGCAGCGCGGGTCGCTTGGCTTGCCACAAGTGGTTATGGATAGTCAGTGCATCAACGCTCACCGACATGGTTTTGGCGGGGATGACAGTAAACTGTTTCCTGTCTGAGCTGTACTTATACAGTTTGTCGATCATTTTCTTGGTGATGCTCTTTGGACCTGTTCCAGTTAGCTTGCAGATTTCCTCGGAGTCGGGATAATAAGAATAAAGTGCTCGAAACTGGCATCCAGCATCTCGGAACAGGATGATGTAGTGGTTGGCATCGCACTTTTCTAGCTCCTGCATTTTGTAACAGAAATCGTCAAAGTACATAAATATAAAGCTAATACACACAATTGAACAGTAACTTCAACTAAAATACTATCAAAACACATAGGATCTGTTGTACAAGGTGAAAGCCATTAAAATATTCCTGTTATGTAAACAGGACACCACCAACCACCATCTCTGTCTGTGCTTTGGCGTACGAAGGATCACTCCCACAATAATCACACCCACCTTGAGATTTCCCCCTCTGGCAAGCCCTGCTAAGTACATTCCCTTTCCATAGGTTACATAGTAGCCATTGAAATTTAGATTTCAACATCCAGCTGGTGAGTGACAAAATTTTAAAATACAGACTTTAAATGACTGTACTGGATAAGTTGAAATATTATTTCATGCAGTTTTTATGAATACTCAAGTAAACTAAATGGAATCTGTATACCTTTTTTTTGAACACTCTAAATAGACAAAATGGGAAATTTGCATTGACACTTATGGGTTACTGTATATTAATATTACTCTTTGAACTGAGCTATGCAACAAAGCAAAAATAAAAGTTTATTTCACTTACATCCAGAGTTTGATTTTTCTGTGCTTCGTTTACCTTCCCGGCCAGGCAGCAGTGAGATATAGCATTGTGGATTATTGGTTTATTGGACTTGCTGCTCGGCTCCTTATAAAGTTTTGGACCTAGAAAAGCAGCAGAAATAATTGTTATAACTATACTTTACAGGGTTCCTCTTGGCCTAGAGTGTATGCAATGCATTTGAATATGAAACATTAGAATGTGGGCTCCCCTGGTCAAGAGATTGATCAAAATCAATAGCAAGTGCTCTCTTTATAGCACTATGCCAAACATCAGAGCAATATAAATGTATAATAGTGTGTGACTGTTGAGGGGACATTAAAGTACAAGAAAAACATTTAAAACATAATTAAAGGCATTACTTAAGAAATCCATTAAATAATCTGGGATTGAGCAAATAACAACTGAAGTGAAATCCAGAGTAAAGAAGGGAAAGTTGGAGTTTAGAGCAGGCAGTTACAGGTTCCAACGCACATCTCTTTTTTTTTTCTTTAATACCTGTGGAGAGCGTACATGAAAAAATAGGAATTTTTATTTGCCTGTAAATTCCTCATCTTGGAATACAGCACAGGGCACAAGACTGGTATTCATAGATCACGGCTATAGGCTGCTACCTTCAGGTGAATGGGCACTGGCAAAAAAATTGCTAGGGCCAACCTTAGAGGCTTCAGTTTCTTTTTAGCAAGCAGTAAGGAGTGACCAAGACGCAGAGGGGTGGGGCCTATGCCCTGAATTGTACTCCAAGATAAGTAATTTACAGGTATTCAAAATTCTTATTATCCTAATCGTACAGTACAGGACTGGTTTGCATAGACCATAGGATGATCTCAAGAAAAAAAAATAGAAGGGTGGGCAAGAACACAGGAAGTGAGAACTGCCAACAGGCCCACAAGAAAAAACAAGCACCACTCCGATAACAACTTGAAATATCTTGCTCCTGAAGACCCACCTGGTAGAACTAGAAAAACATGTGAACAGAGAACCAGGTGGTGGCCCTACAAATCTGGGATAGCAGAAGACACCAACAGGAATGGGTTCTGATGGAAAAGGCTGGAACCTTTTTCTTAGGGGAATATAGGAGAGGAGATTATGGAGCATGGCTGCAAACAGATCTATGTCCCAAGGCAAGTGGCCGTGGAAGATTTTGGAATGGCTCAGGCTTAGTCCCAAAACACTTTAGTGGAGCACCGCTTGAGAAACTGAAGATCTCTAGAGCAGGGGTCACCAAACTTTCTAAACAGTTTACTGGCTTTCAGATTTTAGGGGGGGCCAGACTGTGGCCATTGGGAGTAGAAATTGTCCTACGTCAATGCATTTTTGGCATTAGGGGGAGGAATAGTGCCCAATTCTAGGAGTAAGTTGGACAAATAGTACCCCATTGTTGGTGTAAGTGGGAAGTATGGTGCCCCGTTGTTAGTGGGAGGAATAGTGACTCGTGGTTTGTTTCAGTAAGAGGAATAGTGCCCAATTGTTCGTGTAAATGGGAAGAATAGTGCCCCATCGTAGGTGTCAATGGGAGGAATAGTGCCTGTTGTTGATGTCAAGAACAGGAATTATGCCCCCTTGTTGGTGTCAGTGAGAGGAATAGTGTTCATTATCAGTGGGAGAAAAAGTGCCCCAAGAGCCAGATAAGGGCAAGCAAAGGGCCGCATCTGGCTCCCGGGCTGCAGTTTGGAGACCACTGCTCTAGAGCAACAGATATGGACAAAAGAGGGCACATCTGAGTGTAGTGGTTATTAAAAACAATTAAGTAGTAGGTTAATTGGCTCCTGTCTAAATTGGCCCTAGTATGTACTATATATATGTAAAGCGCTGCGTAAATTGACGGCACTATATAAGTTCCTGTAATAAATAGACTAATCTTAGAAAATATCTCAGACTTTCATCATTTGAATTCCTTATTTGGTTTTGTATTTACAATTTTCTCTGTTTGTAATATAGCAAGGAAGAACGCAACAATTAGTAACATTTCAAACAATCAGAACGGCACAAAAAGCAAAGATCTCATGAGGAAGGGGAGAAGAGAGAATGGCACACCTGAATACTCCGCCACTGATGCTATAGATGATGCAGTGGATGCATTCTCCCAATCTCGCTCTGCGGTTCTGCTCTGGTGTCTGCTTCCCAATGACAAGGCTTCAACAGAGTCCACTCTAAATGGAGGTAAAAAAAAATACATAACATGACTGCAAAAATACCAAATGGCATACACATTCACCTACTCATCTGCCTTGATAGCTCAATAAATACAAGAAATGCTCTCAGTGTTGAGGTGAATATTCTGAACTACTATGTGGCAGGAAGAATCTCTGTTTGTCACAGTGCTCTTTATAATGTGGACAGACCAATCAGGTGATATAGTAAAAAGTCCTGATCCTTTGCTTATGCTATCCTATGTTGCACAGAAATTGGTCAAAGTATCTTATGCACACCACTGTCACTGTTGTAACAGTGGTGGAACAATTCGTGCAATGAAGAGCAGATATCTCCCTGCCTGTCTCTTTAAGAGACTGCTTGCCCATTGAGGTTAATTTGGTTCATACTGGATTTGGCTTCCAATAACAGTTCCAACACATGATCTAGGCCTCTCTCAACAGGCGATTACACGCCTATACATATAATCACCTTTGTAATGGAGGCATTAGGACTTGTGTTTAATGTGAACATTGCACTTGAATTCTGATGCTGTTTAAAAATTAGAATGATTTAATTCCAGTAATAAAAACTGGATTTCTCCTCAGCAAAAGCACAATTTATAGTGAAAAGTACCTGTGTGACGGTGTTCCACCAGAATGGACACTTTCTGCCTCCGTAGTAGCTCCAGATGCCAATGACAGACTAGACCCAGATTGCGCGCTGCTTAAGTTGTCAGCTATAGAAATACAAGGAGGGGGATATAAGCTATATTTGAAATGAAGTTCTCAACTTTTTGTTCTAAAGCTTCAAAATGCTTTACAGAACTATACAACAAATATACACTTGTTAGCATATTAATGCAGACATTTTAATGCATGGAGCATATACAGTAAAATGTATAATGTCAAATACAAAGTGGACGTAGTCCCCATCTACTCAACTTACAGTCTATTAGGGAGAGATACAGAAGCTGAAAAAGATCACAATTTTTGGGGTATAAGGGGATGATGCAGAAGATGGAAGAGTTAAAAATAGGGAGCAATGCAAGCACTTAGAAGCCATTCTATTATCAGGGAGAAATACAGAACATAATAAAGTGCTGGAATAAGGAAACAAAAGCTAACAGAAATTAAATTCTACCCAAAACACTTAAAGAGTGATCTTACGTGTAGAGGAATATTTGGTTCCTGAGTCACTGTAGGATTCCTCTCGATGGACAGATTTCGGGCGAGACTTTTTAGGTTTGGGCTTCGGTTTGGGCCGTCCTATCCCTTGCTCCTCTAATATTTGTTGCTGCTTCCGTCGTAGATACTCCTGTTTGATGAGTTCCCTTCTGGCTTTCTCCTCATCCTTTCGTATGCGCTCTTCTTCAGCCTTTCGCCTTTAAATACAAGGAAACCATGATCATAAATTTAGAGCACCTTTTGCTGGAGTGCTATACATCAGTAGTTGCCTTTTGCAACCAAGCATAACAGTTTATTGTTGTTTTATCAACTCTGCGCTTTGTACTGCCTAATAGATAAGCCCATGAAATTGCTAAATGTAATGAACCAGTCTGGCTCCCCAAGCACTCAGTGGTGGGACATTTCATATATTTATTACATTTGTGATTGCTTTATGTATATTTACCGGGCTTCATCTCTCTTTAGTTCAACTTCAGCCTCCAGCTGCTGTTTCCTGACACGAGCCTCTTCTGCTTTTTTCTGCTGTTTCAACAGAAAGGCAGCTCGCTTCTTAGCCAGCTCATCCTCTGCTTTCTGTTCATCCTGGAAGTGGTAAGGCACACCGTGGAGGTCAGTTTTAAAATAGAGACTTTATTTGTTGTACCATTAGCATATTTAAATAACTGACATTTTTGACAATGTGGTACACAACCACTGAATCACTCTAATCTCCCCACCACACACTATTATACATTGCTAAAATGTTCTACAGATGTTTACAAAGAACACTTAAGAACTCACATAAGTATCTACTGCAGAAAAGCATACAGACGCCGTGCCCTACAGCACCTACAGACGCCGTGCCCTACAGCACCTACAGACCGCCGCGACTAGCCATCAGTTGACCCAGCTGCCCACCACTCTCCCTCTCCTTCCACAGATGAACCCGGCCTACGAGACCCGACTCAGCCTCCGCCACTGCGCGACAGACTCTCCACATCAATACGACCTGATGTGAAACCTTTCACCTCCCTCAATTGAGCAGCACTCTGCTCACTCTCCTAATATGCCACCTGTACTCCTCCTCCTCGTACTCCTCTCCTCCATTCCCAAAATCTACTCCCTCTACCCCCCCTACTCCCCCAAAACAACTATACATCGCACCCTCACTACTTCCATCTCCCCACTACGGCTCTCACCACCTCCTCCTGATACTCCACTCTCCCACTGACCCACACGCCACCACTAACAGACCCACATGCTCTTGCACATCCCGCTCCCATGCCATCTTTCTCATCCTTCTTCTTCTCCTAACCGCTGGGGACATCTCCCTGAACCCAGGCCCCTCACCACCGCACCCTCCTACTCTCACAAACCTCCGCAACCCCCTCAATCTTATACCTGTCCCCCTCCTCCCCGCATCCACCCCTCCAGTCTCGGTTGCACTCCTGAATGCCCGGTTGGTTTGCAACAAGCTCGCCGCCATCCATGACCTCTTTATCTCCCACTCCCTCAACCTCCTAGCGGTCACCGAAACCTGGATCCAAACCACTGACTCCACCTCCCCTGTGGCACTCTCCTATGGAGGTCTTGTCTGGTCCCATTCACCCAGACCGAGCGGTCGTAGAGGTGGTGGGGTCGGCATGCTCTTCTCAACGCTGAGCACCTTTCAGGTCCTCCCAAACCCCCCCTCTCTATCCTTCTCCTCCTTCGAGGCCCACTGCATCTGGCTCTTCTCTCCCACCCCTCTGAGGATTGCAGTAATATATCGGCCTCCTGAACCCGTATCCCGCTTCCTCGACGTTTCCGCCTGGCTACCCTTCTTCCTCTCCTCTGAGCTACCCATCATCCTTGGTGACTTCAATATCCCTGTCAACGTCAACAACCCGGCTACATCCCAACTCCTTCACTTAACCTCTTCTTTTGCACTCACACAGTGCACACAGTCCTCCACCCACACCGACGGGAACACCCTGGATCTCGTTTTCTCTCATCTCTGCACCCCCCACAACCTCACAAACACCCCTTTCCCTCTCTCTGACCACAACCTCATTACATTCTCCATCTCCCCGTCCTCTAACACCTTCCCCCCCAAAAGTCAAACCATCACCAGCCGTAACCTCCGCAACCTAAACCCGGCCCCTCTCCACTCTGCAGCTGACCATCTGTACGACAGTATCCTTCCACTGTCATGCCCTGACCTGGCCACTACTGCGTATAACGACTCGCTGTCAGCTGCCTTAGAATCCTTAGCACCCCTAACCACACGCAGCATTAGACCCCAACGGCTTCAACCCTGGCAGAACGACCACACTAAAAATCTTAAACGACGCTGGAGCGATTATGGCGCAAAACCAGATCCCCTCGAGCGTTCTCCCTCTACAAATCCACCTTCCTCACCTACACCTCCTCCCTCCACGCCGCCAAACAAGCCTACTTCGTAACCCTCATCAACACCCTCACCACCTGTCCTCGCCGGCTCTTCTCCACGGTCAACCCCCTACTCTCTCCCCCCCCTCCTCCACGAGATTGCCAATCACTTCCAAAACAAGATCGACGCAATCCATAAGGACATCGCCAATGCTCAATCTACCTCCACACCTAGCCTCCCTCCCACTATAACCCCTTCAACTCTCCGCTCCTCTGACCTCGCAACCGCCCTGCCCCCCCCACCACACCTAACATCCCGCACACTATAACCTCCCCAACACTCCGCTCCTTCAGCCTTGCTACCACTGAGGAGGTCACTAAGGTCTTCTCAGAAGCCTGCCTCACCACTTGCCACCTTGACCCTGTTCCCGCACAACTCCTCCAGTCACCCTCCTCCTCCATCCTACGCTCCCTCACCCACATCTTCAATCTCACCCTCTCTACTGGTGCATTCCCCTCCCCCCTAAAGCACGCGCACATCACCCCCATACTCACTAAAACCCTCCCTGGACCCCACCGACCTGAACAACCTTAGACCCATCTCCCTGCTGCCATTTACATCCAAGCTCCTTGAGCGCTTAATCTACAATCGCCTAAGCTCCCACCTCACTGACAACAACCTCCTTGACCCACTACAGTCTGGCTTCCGTCCCTACACTCCACTGAAACCGCCCTACTCACAATCACTAATGACCTGCTAACCGCCAAAGCTAATGGCCACTACTCAGTCCTCCTACTCCTCGACCTCTCCGCATCCTTCGACACAGTTGACCACCCCCTCCTCCTAAATAAACTATACTCCCTTGGCATCAGAGACTCCGCTCTCTCATTGCTCTCCTCCCATCTATCCCAACGCTCCTTCAGCCTTACCTATAACGCTACCACCTCCCCCTCTCTGTTGGGGTCCCCCAAGGCTCTGTCCTTGGGCCCCTTCTCTTCTCCATCTAGACCTCCTCCCTCGGCAAACTGATACACTCCCACGGCTTCAACTATCACCTCTATGCCGATGACACGCAAATTTACCTCTCCACCCCTCACCTCACCCCTTCAGTCTCTGCCCATATCACCCACCTACTGAATGACATATCAGACTGGATGTCGCTCCATTTCCTCAAATTGAACCTTTCCAAAACCGAGCTCCTAATTTTTCCCCCAGCCCGTGCCCCCCCCATCCTCTCCATCACGACCAACAACGCCACCATCAGTCCCACCCCGCAAGCCAAAGTCCTAGGTGTCACTCTAGACTCAAACCTGTCCTTCCAACCCCATCTCCAATCGCTGGCAAACTCATGCAGGCTCCACCTCCGCAACATCTCCAAAATATGCATGTTCCTAACCCCAGACACTACTAAACAACTCATTCACTCCCTTATTATCTCACGTCTGGACTACTGCAACTCCCTTCTCACCGGCCTACCCCAACACAGGCTATCCCCGCTTCAGTCTATCCTGAACTCAGCGGCCAGACTCATCCACCTTATCAACTGCTCCGCTTCTGCAACCCCCCTCTGTCATTCCCTCCACTGGCTTTCGATTGCCCAACGCATTAAATTCAAACTACTAACATTGACATACAAAGCGATTCATAACGCTGCCCCAAACTACCTCACCGACCTGATACCCAAATACCACCCAACCCGTACTTTTCGCTCCTCACAAGACCTCCTACTTTCTAGCTCCCTGGTCTCTTCCTCCCACGCCCGACTGCAGGACTTCTCCAGGACTTCCCCCATCCTCTGGAACTCACTACCCCAATCCATCAGACTGTCACCTACCCTCCTCACTTTTAGGCGCACCCTGAAAACCCATCTCTACAGGGAAGTCTACCCCACTCTCACTTAACAGCCAATCTCCTCTCCTCCTACCACTCCATCCCCCACAGCCACTTCCTCCTGTACCACTATCCCCTCCCTCCTAGATTGTAAGCTCGAAAGAGCAGGGCCCTCGAACCCCTCATGTATTGTTTTGATACTGTATTGTCTCATGTACTGTCCCCCACTATAATGTACAGCGCTGAGCAAACCTTTTGGCGCTATATAAATACTGTATAATAATCCTCTAGTGTCCCTATCACAGACACACACAAAGCTGTGGCAAAAAGTTGCATTTTGAATAATCCTTTTGCCAACACAAGAAAATAGAGATTTGGTGGCTAAAGTCTCTTTGGAGAAATGGTGGGGGGAGAAAAGGTGCAGTTCTTGGTTCCCAGAAACCACTTAAGACATGGGTTTTAGTCAGAGTGAAGAAAATTAGGTCAGTTGCGATATCATGCAAAAATAACCGAACACACACAAAAATCACAACTCACTTTGAAGAAAAACCCAACTCCGGACTTCTGATCTTCACCAATAACATCTGTGGACTTCTCTGGATTATCAATCTCTTCCTCTTCAACAGGATCTTTAAGCTCAGATAGATCTACCTCTATCAGGCTAGACTTGTTCTTTAGCCGCTCATCCACAGGAACGTTTTCTTTGCCAGAACTCTCTGAGGAGCCCACACAAGCCCGCAAACTGTTGACAGCATCCTTATGCACTTGGTCTGATATAATATTGGCATCTTTGGAGGTGGAAAGAACAAATGTCCTCTGGTTGTATTCCTCGTGTAGCCGAAAGCTACCTGTAGGTTTATCAGGGTGCCCTTCGCTTTGCTCTGCCCTTTTATCTGTTACCTCTCCTATAGGAGTGATGGGCGATTTCAGAGCTGGAACTGATTTTAAATGAGGTAAGGTCTCTATGCTTTGAGTTGGTGTTATTACACGGGAGGAGTTCTGCATTTTTTCTTTAGACATTTTATGTTCAGAGGCCCGAGAAAAGCGTGGGGTTCGACCCTGAGCAAACCGATTTTTACGAGGTCCTGGGCCAGTTCCTGGTGGAGACAGAGGCTCTACAAAGTGAACAGGTGGGTTTAATTTGAGGTCCTGGCTATTAGTTTTAAGAGCCGGGAGCACAGAGGCTGGGGCTTTCATGAGCAGTTCTTGCTGTTGAGATATTTTTAGTATTGCCTTTTGTAGGGTGGTTATGGTCTCATTCAACTTTTCAATGGAGAGGTTACACTCATTCACATCAATCTCAGAATCGGCATCGTCGGGGCTGGCGTTAGCTACCACATTACACACTTCACCTTCATCCAAATCAACCTCTTTCGGCTTCTGTTCTAAAACTTCTTGAACGTTTGCCTGCTTAGAAACTTCACTTGGGAAGTCCACTTTTTCAAGGACTTGTTCAGCTTTAGAAGTGATGGTCACCGTATCTGCCGCAGTTTGCTTGGTAAAGTCCTTCAATGGATATTCCGGCCTCAGTGGATGAGACGACCCTTCATGCTTGCTCTTTTTCACGACATGCAAGAATGCTGCCTTACCCAATTTTAACCGCTGGCGTGCTGACAAAGATTCCATCTTTTTCTTCTGAGCTTCAATGGCTCTTCTCTTCTCCTCCAGCTGCATGTGAAGTTGTACCAGTTCAGAAGCTAGGACATTAGCATTGTCTTTGTTCTGTCCACCAGGACTCTGCTCCCTCCGTTGCTTCCAGGTGGTCAGTGGAGGAGGGCAGCATTCAGAACCATCAGGGGTGGTTTTCTGTGAACTGCTCGTACTAGATTTTGTTTCATAGCTATTAAGTCTTTGAAACTTTCTCTCAGCAAAACTAGTCATTCGTACGCTGCCGCTAGCCAAAGAGACACTGCTAACCTGGGAAATGGTGCTTAGACAGGGGCTTGAGCGTCCACTGGCATCATCTTTGTCATCATTTTCCTTTACTTTCATGTCTTCCTGCAGCTTAGCGGACTCTTCTTCACCAATGTATTTGCATACTGGATGAGGAGGAACAGGTTCTTGGTCACACTCCTCTTCTAGATCCAAATTGTCAGAGTCAGAGTCTTGCCTTGATAATGTCCACGTGCTTTCTGAATCTTTGACTTTTTCTAGTGGGAGCTGTGTCAACTTTTCTTCATCAACCATGTCAGACTTAGAATCATGAAGAAAAAATCCAGCACTAGGCTGAACCAATGGATCGATGCTACTGGTAGCAAGGGGTCGAAAAGACCCAGCACCACTTTCCATTGATGCCTGTAAAGGTTCTATCCTAGGACTCTCTGTGGCTGGGAATTCTGAACTACAGACAGGGGTATAAGTTCTATTCAAATTATGTGCAATGTGATTAGTAGTGATTTTCTTTCGTGGGAAAGAATGAGTAGTGCCTTCATTTTCACGTCTATGAACAAATGCTTTTGGCTTGCTTTCACCATATTCTTCCCTTTTATGTACAATTTGTTTTTCTTTTGCCGGTTTAAGGACTGCGGGCATTAAAGGTTCTAAGAAGAAGCTGCCCGATTTTTCTTCATCCGGTTTTGGCCTTCTTGGTGACCTTGCTGTTGCCTGCTGGCTTGAGGCTCGGGAGGAAAAGCTCTGCAATTCAAGGTCTCCTTGATTTGATGCTTCACCTGATCTAATATATGCAACAAGTTCTTCCTCCTCATCCTCTATGTCTACATGTCCTAAAAGACTCCTTGAACCAATTGGTGCAGATGAATTAGGCAGCTGGTGTTTAGGAGTGGCGTTGATGATGTTTGAAGCCAGGCTGTCCTTGCTGATGGATCGAGCAAGACTAATACTGTCTCCGGAGGTTGCATCAACATCATCACCACAGTGAAGGGCAAATGGTGGCTGTGAAAGGGGCCTGCAAAAACACAAATTAATACTGATTATCACCAAGCTCAAATTCTTATGTTATGTGACTGAAATTCTAAATAACTTTTAATATACTCAGTAAAGGGGTCAGTGTACCCAATACTGTTATGGGTATAAGACAGATACTATTGAATTTATTTATCCACAGGCTTCTCTTATACAATATCTCAGAGGGAATCTTCTTGTTGCAGATCTTGGGCATTTAATAAAAAAAAAAATCTAACAGGAAGAACAGACAGCCTTATGATGTCCTCAAAAGGTGGGTAGAAAATTCAAATGCCTACAATAGCTTATTAATAGGGTCCTTAAGATTTAACAGGTTGGAAAGTTTTTCAAACTTATGGCATATGTACAAAACAAGTTTTCAGTGGAGTAAAACTTTAAAGCAAATCTGTATGCAAATACAGGATCTGCCATTTCTTTTTTTTTTTTACTGAAAATTAGGGATGCACCGATATATCAGCAGCTGAAATGTATCGGCTGAAAACAGTGTTATTGGAATTTTGCCAATATGAAAAAAGGCGCTGAAAACGTGTGATTTTGCAGCATTTTACCACGTTTAAGGTGCGGTTTACATAGGTCATGTGACAAAAAAACCACATCAAACCGCAACATGTGCTGATGGGTTTTCAGTGCATTTGAGGCAGTTTCCATTTTGTCCGTTTTGCAATGCGTTTTGACTTTTTTACACATTTTTAAAAAAAAATTTTTGGCCAACTTGTTGCTGAGCAGATTGAAAACGCATCAAAAACGCAACACGTGTTTTATTATGCTTTTTAATGCATTTCAGGCCTAGTGCAAACCAATGCAGTTTGCGTTTTTCAGTTCGTTTTGCATCTCTGTGTGCACTTGACGCATTTCATGCAGTTTTTTTTTTTGGCCAACTTATTGCTGGGCAGATTAAAAATGCAAAACACATAAAAAAAATGCGGCAAACGCGTGGAAAGGAGTCAAAAACGCACTACGTGCATTTTCTGCAACGTCTCCATTGAAGTCTATTGAACCAAAAACGCAACATTTTGCGTTTTAAAAAATCTCTGACCCTTTCCAAAAATGCAGCAGCTCAAAAAAAAAAAAAAAAAAAAAAAAAATGTGGATGTGTCTCATAGGAAACCATGTTAAATGGACTGTAGTGTATTTCTACAAAAAGCCCTAAAAACGCATTGGTGTAAACCAGACCTCAATGGGAGGTGCATTTTGTTTTTTTTAACTTGCCAAACATGCACCAAAAATGCGGCAAGCAGGATTTTTAACACTGCAAGGGAAGCGCATTGGACCAGTGTGAAGACATAAATTGAATTTAAAGGGATGCATTTTTGAGCTTTTCTTGAGCCTTGTTTTTATGCAAACGTGCTGCAAAAACTGCTGAGTGTGAAAGCAAAATATTGTCCGAAAGGTGCTGAAAATAAATTTACATTCATTTAAACTTATGACTTTAAAAAAGTCGAGTATAATACAATTATATATTAAAAAATATATTTTTAAAAGAAAAACTGTCCATTGCAGTTTTTGGCCAAATGTATCCTGAATTTTCAGTTTAAGAATTTTAATGTCGGTGCACTACTACTTAATATGCTTGCTGTCAGACTGTCTCTGGCCAATATCCTGAGTAACTGACAATGAGCAAGTATGCACCCAGTGACACCAGGACTGATCAGCATACTCGTGTTTCAACATATGACCCAGAAAGCATCAAAGCCACTGAACTACAAGGACAGCCAGTCAACTATCATTTTGCAAAGCAGAGCTCAGAAAAGGCAACCTGCAAACTTTAAGGCGAACCTGTCATGAAAGAAATATGCTGACCACTTTTACAAATGATAGTTACCTGGCTGTAGTGTTGACCTTCTTTAAGATTTGTATCACCAAAGCAGAACGCCAAGTAGGACTTCTACCATCTCTGGCACTTTCCTCATAGTTATTCTGAATCAATAATTCAGAAAGTTTTGAAGTCATCAGATTAACAAGCGTGGCAGCAACTAGCATTTTCAATACGTTAGCAACGGTAGCCCAGTATGTCTTTCATGGCAGATTTTCTTTAACTGCATGCCTACATGATGTATGGCAGATAGAAGGCAGGCTTTGGGAGAGAGAGAGAACCTCAGTGGCTTAGAAGACTGACGGCTTTTTCTGCTTTTACAATGTGTACAGCTAACCCCTTATACTCCACGCAGAAGAGATTTTTGCTCTGGTATTCCATTGTAAAGTAAAGACGAATTTCAGACACATGAATATTTCATAGTTACCACTTTATCAAGGCTAGCCAAAAGCTTCTGAAAAGCTTCAAATTTTATGAAGGTACCCCAAAGAATATGTTATATTGTAGACTTACCTTGGCCTTTTCTCTGCCCATGCCACCACTGAAGAACGGGGTGGCACTTCAGTTTGTGTCAAAGAATTTGCACGATCTCTGTGGTCTATATGGAGAAATATTTTCACAATGAGCTTCTAAACAATAGACAGGCAGTTCTAATCTACATTTACTGAAAAATAAAATTCAGCAAACAATTCAGCTAATAAAACTTCTAAATAAAGGCTGAAGAGAGAGACTGATTTACTTACGCTGTCTCCCCGCTCACATTAACCTCTTGTCTACTAAGGTACATTTATAAACATCCTGGTATTCAAGGGGTTAAAACAAGCTCCCAGCAGTTTGGTATTATTTGGTATTATTGGACTCAGATGATCTGCTTTCATGTCAAAATGATCAAAGTGGATACAGAGCTGCCCAACCACTTTTACAATGCAAGTGCTCTGCCCCTCTGGCGTCAAACATGGTGGTTCTTAAGCTCTGTTGTTCCTTCAGGGAGACTGGAAGACAGGAATATCTACTCTGTGATTTCCTCTGCTATGAATGCACATGCAAACATTGTACATCACTTTTAGGTTCAAAGTTGTCATTCCCAAGCTTCTGTAGCCAGGAAAAAGCTCATCAAGCATGATCTGTGCTTTATTAGCTGCATTGGAGGGCAAAGGAAGACATTGGGATTCTAACAGACCCCTGAAGTCTACTTGAAGAGGACCTGTCACCTGCCCATGCTATCAAATAGGGGCCTATTAGCCCTTTGTGACAGCTATAAAGCTAAATGAAAAAATGTTAAACTATAAAAAACAAAAAATAATTATTAACTAAACCCCTGTTGCTTAACACATATGCGCACATGGGGCACATATGTGGAAGTAAACAGCTATTGCGCCACAAGTGAGGTATTGCCACTAATATTAGAGTAATTCTAGGGCCATAATTCACGGTCAACTCTTTTTTGATAACTTATAAAGGCTCTTAAAATGTTGTTTATGGACAACTTTGGGTACCGTAGTTTTTCACCATTTCACGGTCACACCTATTTCTAAGGTTTGACACATTTGGTATATATTTACTGGAGGAAACCCCATATTTTTTAATCCCACTAAAATAATGGGTATTATATTGTGTGTGTACCAAAATAATCTCAATGTATCCTTTCCTAAAAATGTGTTTGATAAATAGTTGCGTAAATATCATACAACATAAAAAATTGCAACTGCCACCTGTTTATTCTACACAGCTTCAGCCATCACAAAATATATGTTTGGGGTTTAAAGTAAATTTTTGCAAATATGTAGATTTTAACGTGTTCAAAAAAAAAAAAAAAATTGTGCTGGTTGACAACTGTTTAAGGGAAAATGATCTCATGAGGACGATCGTTACAGTGATTAACATGCATGATGCAGGATGGTTAAGTATTAATAATTAAGCTGGTGGTGAGGGTACTGGATAAAGAAAACGGCTTCCGCTTTTTACAAAGCGCAGGCATACAGAGAGAGTGAGCGAGACACAAAGAAAGAATTAAAAAAAATAAAGAGAAACACACACAAGAAGGTGAAAAAAAAGAAGAAAGAAGGCTAAATGAGACAAAACTCTACATGCAGCACTAATCGCTAATAGTCAGTTATTAAAACAATGGTTTTTTTTTTTCAATGCCAGTACAAATAACTTTGTGCTTCAACCCGAAATCACATGGACATTCAATATAAAAAAAAAAAAATATTGGTAATGCATGTACTTCCCGCAAGGTCTCCACACTGCACCTAGAGTAAAATATTTACCGGTTTGCTAGAGAGGTCCCTACATGTCTCAGGTGAGGAAGCCGTTTCACTCTCACCTCAGCTTCTCCACTATAGGGCAGGGCGGGTGGAGGTGAAGCAGAGGCACTGGCTGGCCAACAGCTAAACCCACCTATGGCTGTAGTGGACAACAGACCAGCAGTGGGTCATAGCCTGCCCTAGCAAAAACTAAGGGTCCTTTCACACGGGCATTCCGTTTTTTATCATAAGTTCAGTCATGTTTTTTCAAAGAAAAAACGGGTGAGTTTACATTCGTTTTTTTATCCGTTTACATCCGTTTTTAGTCATCAGCTGTCAGCGGGGTTCCCCACTGACAGCTGAATTAAAAAAAAAATTTAAAATAAAAAATTGCCGGAAATTAAAAAATAATTTTAAAAAATGGCATGCGGTCCCCCCCCCTCCATCCATACCAAGCCCCTTGGATCTGGTTTTGATTTTGAGGCCCCAAGGTCCGTGCTTGACTAAAAGGTGCACCTCAACACTGTGAATTCCACCAGATGAAACAATGTAAAGCTTATACTTACTAGGACTGTCGTCTGAATGCACAGTCTTCTGCTGCTTCTGTCTTAAAGGCAAGAGTGGATGGGATGGACTGAATGCTGTGCTTCCTTTCCCACTACACAGTAATTAGAAAATGTTAATTACAGGGTTTGTGTACCAACAAAGGAAAACACCAGGAAGTAATATAAACAATTATTAAATCACAATGCAGAAAAACAAATGTTATCAGGGGTGAGATTTTTTTTTCTTTACTAAAATTTAAAACATTACATGTTAAACATTACATTGTGTAGTTTGGACTATATACTGTACTTTACAAAAGAATTGGTTACAACAATTTTAAAACTCCCCTTTGATACAGAACACAATTCAAGCAAAACATATAAACAAAACAAATTTTGGAGTCCCTTTACCCTGTCTTTTTACATTTAGAGTTCATAGGTCTGCTGATGGCATTAGACCTTTTAAAAATGTGTAATCCTTTAAATATTTCCATTTCAGACATATATGGGGAATTAAATAGTGGTTACACCACTCTACATTGCTGAGAACACAGAGCAGATGCTCAATTAACTAAATAACAAAAGGGGCACAAATGATCTGCTCATTGTTCTTTGCTGTATTTGGGACTGACACAGCAGAGGCCAGCTCAGCTGGCAAGGCTTGCTCTGAACCTTCTGCCAAATAAATTATAAATCTCTATGTCTATCTATCTATATATATTATGGCTGAAATAACTAATCGACAATTGATTATGAATATAGTTGTTAACTGATTAGTTGGCCTGCATACAGAATCCATTATATGTTACATATAAGAAAATAAAGTGCAGCATACCAGATTCAACCTCTAATAGTATATAACATCTCTTCTGTCTGTTACTCTCAGAGTGGATTAGTTATTTTGTTACCCAACCATATAGCTGGTTATTTATATTTACCACTGCATATAGATATTCAAGAATAAATTGTGATAATTTTTAAACTTCACATATTAACCACTTCCCAACCACCCTATAGCAGAAGTACTGTAACAGGGCGGCAGGAATGTGCAAAATCACACACACATACATAATATATATATATATATATATATATATATATATATATATATATATATATATATATATATATATATACACACACACACACACACATATATATATATACACACACACACACACACACACACATATATATACACACACACACACACGATTTTGCATCTCCGGGTAGGGGGCGCACACGTGCGCTCCCTACCCGCGCCGCTATAGGCTCCTCAGCATGTCAATCACTGGGTCCCAGCTGGGTCTCAGTGAACGTCGGCAGAGCCGGCAAGAGAGGTCTGTATGTAAACAACACAGATATCTCCCATGTCTGCATGAACAGGCTGCTTTGTATTGCAGAGCAATACAAAGCAGCTTGTCTACATAGTAAAACACACACAGCACACTATGTAAAACACAGCACACTGTTAACCCTTTGATCGCCCCAGATGTTAACCCCTTCCTGCCCAGTGTCATTAGTACAGCGTCAGGGCTTTTTATTAGCACTGATCACTGTATTAGTGTCACTGGGAATGTCAGTGGCAGTTAGTCAGTTTCCCCCAATATCAGAATGCCCACCACAGTCACTGATCGCAGCCATTACTAGTGTAAAAAAAAATAAAAAAAATTCCAGTATATATACTGCCATTTGTAGACGCTATAAAACTTTCACATATACCAATTAATTTACACGTAATGGGATTTTTTTTTTTTATCAAAGATTATGTAGCAGAATACATTTTGGCCTAAATTTATGAAGAAAGTTTATTTTTAACATTTTTTTACTGGAAATGTTTTATAGCTAAAATATTGTTTGTCTTTTCCAAAATTGTCAGTCTTTTTGTTTATAGCACAAAAAATAAAAATGCACAGGTGATCAAGTACCACCGAAAGAAAGCTCTATTTGTGGGGGGAAAAAGCACATAAATTTAATTTATGTACAACAATGCATGACTGCACAATTGTCAGTTAAATAACGCAGCACCGTATCGCAACAAATGGTCTGGTCAGGAAGGGGGGTAAATCCTCTTTAGGGCAAGTGGTTAACTAAACTGCACAACACAATTTTTTTTTTTGAGGTTTTTATCTGACTAATCGAAAAAATAATCGGCCAACTAATCAACTATGAAAATAATCGTTAGTTGCAGCCCTAATATACAGCAGGTAAAATACGTATTGAACACGTCACCATTTTTCTTGGTAAATATATTTCTAAATGTGCTACTGACATGAAACTTTCACCACAAGTTGGTAACATCCCATGCAATCCATACAAAGAAACCAAAACATATAAGATTCAGAAATTAAGTTATGTGTAATAAAATGGAATGACACAGGGAAAAAGAATTGAACACACTAACTTAAATGTATTTAATGCTTCGTAGATAATGACAGCTTTAAGATGCCTCCTGTATGGAGAAACTAGTCGCATGCATTGCTCAGGTGTGATTTTGACCCATTCTTCCACACAAACAGTCTTCAAATCATGAAGGCTCTGTGGGTCTCCTCTATGAACTCTGATCTTTAGTTCTTTCCATAGATTTTCTGTTGGATTCAAGGCCGGTGATTGGCTTTCCATTTTAGCAGCTTTATTTTCTTTTTTTAAACCAATTGAGTTTCCTTGGCTTTGTGTTTGGGATCATTGTCTTGCTGAAATGTCCACCCTCGTTTCATCTCCATCATCCTGGTAGATGGCAGCATATTTTTTATCATGAATGTCTTGGTACATTTTTTCATCTATCCTTCTTTCAATGCAATGTGCCAGTACCATATGCTGAAAACCAGCCCCACACCACGATGTTCCCACCTCCAAACTTCACTGTTGTTATGGTGTTTTTGAGGTGATGAGCAGTGCTATTTGACCTCCAAACATGGTGTTTATTATGGCATCCAAACAGTTACATTTTGATTTCATCTGACCAGACTATATTCTCCCAGTATTTCACAGGCTTGTCTACATGTTGAACAGCAAACTTAAAACAAGCTTCAACATGCTTTTTCTTCAGCAATGGAGTCTTGCGTGGTAAGTGTGCACATAGGCCAGGGCAGTTGAGTTAATTAATTATGGTTTTCTTTGAAACAATTGTACCTGCTAATTCCAGGTCTTTCTGAAGCTCTCCACAAGTGTCCTTGGCTCTAGAACAACTCTTATGATACTTTTCACTCTTCTGTTAGAAACTTTGCAGGAGCATCTGGTCGAGGCCGGTTTATGGTGAAATTATGGTTTTTTTGTTCTTTCCACTTCTGGATTATGGCCCCAACAGTGCTCACTGGAGTATTCAGAAGTTTAAAAATCCTTCTGTAACCAATGCCAACGGTATGTTTTGCAAGAAGATTGTGAAGGTCTTGAGAAAGCCTATTGCTTTTAGCCATCATGAGAGGTTTCTTGTGTGACACCTTAGTAATGACACCTTTTTAAAGGCCATCAGTTGAGACTGAATCAGCTAATAATGTGCACCTCCCTTTCTTCATATGTTCAATACTTTTTCCCTATGTCATTCCATTTTATTACACATAGCTTAATTTCTAAAAGTATTTGTTTTGGTTTCATTTTTGTAAATATTTTATTATACCTTTTCATGTGACAACACTGAAGAAATTACACTTTGCTACAATGTAAAGTAGTGAGGGTACAGCTTGTATAACAGTGTAATTGTCTGTCCCCTCAAAATAACTTAACACACAGCCATTAATGTCTAAACCGCTGGCAACAAAAGTGAGTACACCCCTAAGTGAAAATGTCCAATAGTAATTTTCCCTACCAGAGGTCATGTGACTTGTTAGTGTTACAAGGTCTCAGGTGTGAATGGAGAGCAGGTGTGTTAAAATTTGGTGTTATCGCTCTCATTCTCTCATACTGGTCACTGGAAGTTCAACATGACATCTCATGGCAAAGAACTCTGAGGATCAGAAAAAAAGAATTGTTGCTCTACATAAAGATGGCCTAGGCTATAAGAAGATTGCCAAGACCCTGAAACTAAGCTGCAGCACGGTGGCCAAGACCATACAGCGGTTTAACAGGACAGGTTCCACTCAGAACAGGCCTCGCCACGGTCAACCAAAGAAGTTGAGTGCACGTGCTCAGCATCATATCCAGAGGTTGTCTTTGAGAAATAGACGTATAAGTGCTGTCAGCATTGCTGCAAAGGCTGAAGGGGTGGGGATCAGCCTGTCAGTGCTCAGACCATACACCCGCACACTGCATCAAATTGGTCTGCATGGCTGTCGTCCCAGAAGGAAACCTCTTCTAAAGATGCACAAGAAAGCCCGCAAACAGTTTGCTGAAGACAAGCAGGCTAAGGACATGGATTGCTGGAACCATGTCCTGTGGTCTGATGAGACCAAGATAAACTGATTTGGTTCAGATGGTGTCAAGCATGTGTGGCGGCAACCAGGTGAGGAGAACAAAAGTGTGTCTTGCCTACAGTCAAGCATGGTGGTGGGAGAGTCATGGTCTGAGGCTGCCGGCACTGGGGAGCTACAGTTCATTGAGGGAACCATGAATGCCAACATGTACTATGACATACTGAAGCAGAGCATGATCCCCTCCCTTTGGAGACTGGGCTGCAGGGCAGTATTCCAACATAATGACCCCAAACACACCTCCAAGGCGACCAACTACCTTGCTAAAGAAGCTGAGGGTAAAGGTGATGGACTGGCCAAGCATGTCTCCAGACCTAAACCCTATTGAGCATTTGTGGGGCATCCTCAAATGGAAGGAGGAGGAGCGCAAGGTCTCTAACACCCACCAGCCTCTTGATTTCATCATGGAGGAGTGGAAGAGGACTTCAGTGGCAACCTGTAAAAATAATGGTGGCCACACAAAATACTGACACTTTGGGCCCAATTTGTAAAATTTTCACCTGGGGGTGTACTCACTTTTGTTGCCAGCAGTTTATACATTAATGGCTGTGTGTTGAGCTATTTTGAGGGGACAGCAAATTTACACTGTTATACAAGCTGTACACTCACTACTTTACATTGTAGCACAGTGTAATTTCTTCAGTTTTGTCACATGAAAAGATATAATAAAATATTTACAAAAAGTGTGTGTGTGTGTGTGTGTGTAAAACAG